TCCTTTTAGGAGCTGATCACGCCCTAAATTTAATTTTTAACCCCTAAAAATCCTCATTTTTTTTAACCCAAAATTGGGTTATGGTGGGGGGAGGTCTCACCCCTCACTTGGCCTCGCCTTCAAATTTATTTAAAATTCTCCAAAAATTTTTTTTACCCCAAAATCGCAGCTTGGGGGAGGTGGGCGGGGCCAGACTTAAATTCTATTATTTTTAAAATGTTCCCAAATTTTCTTTTTTTTTTTTGTCCCCAAAATGAATCCTGGGTGTAGCAAAGTGGGCGTGGCCCTTTAACCCCCACACCCCCAATTTCCTTTTAAATCCCGATTTTTTTCCCTTTAAAATCCTGGATTTTTTTCCTTTAAAATCCCAATTTTTTTTTCTTTTAAAAACTCGATTTTTTTTCATTTAAAATATATTTTTTTTTAATTTTCAAATCCCCATTTTCTACCTTAAAATTCTCATTTCCTACCTTAAAATTCTGAACTTTTTCTAACTCCAAATCCTCATTTTTTTCCCCAAAATTGAGTCCCAGATGTAGCAGACCCAAACCACGCCCCCGATTTGTTTATAAATCCCTTTTGTTTATAAATCCCATTATTTTTCTTTTGAAATTATGATTTTTTAATTTTCAAGTCTAATTTTTTATCTTTTAAAATCCCAATTTTTTCCTTTAAAATCTAATTTTTTTAAGGTTGTCAACTGCAATTTTATACTTTAAAATCCTCGTTTCTTATCCTAAAATTTTAAATTTTTTTAGCCCCAAATCCTCATTTTTCACCTCAGAATTGGGTCCCAGATGTAACAATGTGAGTGTGGCCCTTTAACCCAAACCATGCCCTAAAATTCCTTTTAAATCCTAATTTTTTTCATTTAAAAATCCTAATTTTTTCTTTTAAAACTCTGATTTTTTTCACTTTAAAATTCAGATTTTTCTTCCTTTAAAATTCATTTCTTTGTTTCAAAATCCCAATTGTTTTTTCCTTTAAAATTAAATTGTTTAAAGTTCTCGAACCACCATTTCCTACCTTAAAATTCTTAATTTTTTTTGCCCCAAATTCTCTTTTTTTTCCCCAAAAAATTGAGTTTAAAGTGGAGCAAAGTGGGCGTGGCCCCGCCCTCCTTAAGCCCCGCCCCCTTTACCTTTGACCACGCCCCCAACCCCCATTTTCCACCCTAAAATTCTCTTTTTTTCCTTCTAAAATCCTCATTTTTCCTCCTAAAATCTGGATTTTTCCCTTAAAATCCTCACTTTTTTTCTCCTAAAATCTTAATTTTTTCCCTTAAAATGCTGGGGTTTTTTTCCTAAAATCCTCATTTTTTTTTCTTTAAAATCCTCATTTTTTTTTCTTTTGAAATCCTCATTTTTTGTCCTAAAATCCTCATTTTTCCCTTAAAATACTGGTCTTTCCTTCTAAAATTCTCATTTTTTCCCTTAAAATCCTCATTTTTCGTCCTAAAATCCCATTTTTTTACTTTGAAATCCTCATTTTTCCTCCTAAAATCCTCATTTTTTCACTTAAAATCCTCATTTTTTTCCCTGAGAATCCTCATTTTTTCTCCTAAAATCCTCATTTTTTTCTTTTGAAATCCTCATTTTTTGTCCTAAAAATCCTCATTTTTTCACTTAAAATCCTCATTTTTTTCTTACAAAATCCCAATTTCTTTTCTTTCAAAACTCTGAATTTCTTTTCCCCCCTAAAATGGGTTTGGGGTGGGTGTGGCTTTGCTGACCACGCCCCCTTTTAAGCGCCGCCCCTTTAACCCCAGACCACGCCCCCAAATCCCCATTTCCGAGTCCAAAATTCCCATTTTTTCCTCCGAAAATTCTCATTTTTCTCCGTAGAATCCCAGTTTATTTCTCTTTCCAAATACTGATTTTTTTCCTTAAAAAGTCCCAATTTTTTTCCCCTCAAAATTCTGATTTTTTCCTCCCCAAAATCCCATTTTCCCCCCCTAAAAATCCCAATTTTTTCCCTCAAAATCCCAGTTTTCCCCCTCAAATCCCAATTTTCCCTCCTAAAATCCCCATTTTTCCCCTAAAACCCCAATTTTCCTCCTCAAATCCTCATTTCCCTCCTAAAATCCCAATTTCCCCCCAAATCCCCTTTTTTCCCCCC